TCAAATAACAATACACATTTATTTTTGAATAAGATAGGACATTTTTCAAGTCAATTCTTTGATATTGAATTTGGTCCAAAAGGGCTCTGATGATGCCAGCCGACTGAAAAATACCGGAACATAGCACTAAAAATAATCAAATTTATAAAAGATAGCATCATTGACAAACATAGAACAGATAATGATATTCTTTTATTTTCCTCCCTTTCTAGTTTTCATCAGCTATGTCACCTGACACTAAATATCCCTTATAAAGCTAATAAAAATATACCCTTCGATAAAACCCTGCATATTAGTCGTGCGTATGTCTATATTAAAGCCATATTAAACATATATAGAACTATATTAGGTCATAGCAGACAGTCGACCACTACTCCTGTAATTTCACATTAACAAGAACAATAAGACACATGATTCAATAGTATTTTGACAGTTTTGATTGTGACTTACCATCGAATGCTTCTTACTCCTGATATATATTCATATTTTCCAGCTCTTAGTTCAGACAACGATGGTAAGCCTCCTGAAAAACACGTAGGAACTGTGCGACCGCCCCCTTGCAGCTGGCCAGATAGACTGACAACCAGCAACTAGAGCACACCGAAATTTACCTGTAATGTCCGACCTCGAAGGGGGTTCGGTGGCCGAGAGTCCACTGGCGTCCGTTTGGGTTGCCTGGGACGGAACGTCGGAAACTGGGGCACTCTGTCCGATTTGTGAACCGTTAGGATCGTCCTTCCAAGCGTTCATTATCGAATAACAATCTTCAAGCACACGATAAGCCGCGTAGTACTCCAAGGTTTATTGAGGAAGGGCGAAAAAGAGGAACGTAGAATGAGGGCAAAACAGAGGGGGAATCTATTAGTCCAACGAAACGTTATTTTCACAGTTGACCAGGGAAGGTGGAGTTGGATGCTGCCACCTGGGAGGGGAGTCTTCTGCCTCACGCACTTCAACTAAAAAAAAACAAGAGAAAGCAGACAGATAGTGTCCAGACACCAGGCAACCTTGCTCTCAAAACTAGCGCCCTTGTCTATTAAAACAACCGTTCATGTGTGCCTGCTACAACTGCCCCCCCCCTCTAGGCAGTGCCCCGTCCGCGGGGCCTGGTGGGGGGTGTGGGTCGGAAGGAACTTCCACTTCGTCGGTAGGCGAGGGGACTAAATGGGGAGGGAGAATGGGTAGGGTATCGTGGGACGCGACGGGGAGACTGCCGTGGTAAGGTTTTAACTTATCGAAGTGTACAGTGAAGGTGGGGCCGGCGTGGGTGAGGGCGTCGCGGATAATGTAAGTAGCGGGCGAAATGACGTCGGCGACCACGAACGGTCCTTCCCAAGGATGGAAGAATTTGGCCGGTGTGCCAACAGGCGGAACCGCCCGATAACGGAGCACTAAATCGCCGATGTGGTAAGGAAGCCCGTGTGCCCGTCGATCGAAATAAGTCTTTTGTCTGTCGCAAGCGTTGCGGAGTTGTGTGCGGGCCAGGTTGTGCGTGAGTCTTAGTAGCTCCTGTAGCTCTATCACGTAGTTGTCGGTTGTATAGGCCGTCGGTTGTTGCGCCGGGACGTTCGAGTCCGCCGGTAGTCGGAATTGGCGGCCGGTCAACATATAGAATGGGGCGTGGCCTGTTGAAGAGTGAATGGCGGCTCTGTGGGCCATCATGGCGAAGTGTAATTTCACGTCCCAATCGTGTGGGTGGTGGTCCTCGGCGAACGCCTTCAGGATATTAATGATGGTTCGATTTGTACGCTCCACCTGGCCATTTCCCTCTGGGTGGGTTGGTGTAGTTCGAGTCTTGTGGATGAGGAGCAGGTCACAGACTTCGCGTAGAAGGTGGCTTTCGAAGTTGGCTCCGCAATCGGAGTGAAGTGAAAAGGGTGCTCCGTATCGACAGACCCATTCCTTTAGCAGCGCATTGGTGACCGAGGCTGCATCTTGTCGATGTAAGGGGATGGCCTCAGCCCACTTCGTAAAATAATCTACCAACACTAAGATGTAGCGATGGCCGGAAGTTATGTAAGGCAACGGGCCGACTATGTCTACGCCCACCCGCTCAACTGGAAAGCCTGTAAGCATAGGCTGTAGGGGTGCACGATTTCGTGGGATGGTGCCCTTGAAGGAGGCACAGATGGGGCACGCGTTACAGAAGTTGGTGACTTGCTCTCTGAGGCGGGGCCACCAGAAGCGCTGCCTAGCAGCCGCTTCTGTTTTGGTCACTCCTACGTGTCCCAACTCGTGGTGTAAGTCTGTGAGGACAGGCATGACTAGGCTACTCGGGACAACTAACCGCGGATGGGTGGAGGCTGCGTCTTTAAAGAAGAGTAGTTCATTCTCAACGAACAGGTTGGCCCATTGGTGGCACAAGAGGCGGGCAATCTCCGAGGAGCCGCGAAGTTCGACCTCTGTTGGTCTGTGTCGACCATGCAACTGGTGGTCGTAAATTATTGCGGTGTCCGGATCGGTACTTTGTGCCACTGCCCAATGATAACGAGTGGATTCGCTGATCGTAACCGCCGCTATGTGTTCGTCTGTTACTTCTGGGTCTGCTGTGCCGGCCTCACTTGGGCGGCGAGAGGGGGCGTCCGCGTTGGCGTGTTGGTGGCCTGGTCGATATTGACAAGTGAAATGGAATTCCTGCAGCAATTCCTGCCATCTCGCAAGCTGGCCTTCAGCTTCTTTCATGTTTTGTAACCACTGTAAGGCCTTGTGGTCGGTGCGGACAATGAAGTGCTTTCCCACTAGGAATGGTTTGAATTGTTTGATAAACGTGATCAGCGCTAACAATTCTCGTCTGTAGGTGCAGTAGTTTCGCTCGGGCTTCGATAGAGTTTTGCTCGCAAAGCAAATCGGTCGCTCGGCTCCTGTCTCGTCGGCTTGTGAGAGTACACCTCCGATCGCAAACCCGCTGGCCTCGCTATCGAGTATGAAGGGAGGGGCCTCAGGACTCGTGTCAGGTAGCATTAATATCGGCGCCGAAGTGAGTTTTGCCTTTAACTCATTGAAGGCCTGTTGACAATCGTCGGACCATGTGAATGAGCGACCTTTTTCGGTCAACCGATGGAGGGGGCGTGCGAGCTCCGCAAAGTGGATGATGAAGCGGCGATAGTAGGAGGCCAGGCCTAGGAAGCCTCTGACTTCTGTTGGGGTCTTTGGCGTAGGCCATGATCTGACTGCCTCTACTTTTTCCTGCGACGCCTGTATGCCTTGCGGGCTGACTTCGTGACCAAGAAATGTGACCTTCCGGCACAGAAACTTGCACTTTTGTGGATTTAAACGCAAACCGGCGTCGCGGAGAGCAGAGAGCACTGCGGCGAGGTTAGCATTATGTTGCTGGGCCGTGCGTCCAAACACAATCACGTCGTCGAGGTATATCAAACAGCTGTGAGGGTATAAGTGAGCCAGGACGGACTGCATCAGTCGTTGGAAGGTGGCGGCTGCGTTGCAAAGTCCGAACGGCATTGTTTCGAATTCGAACAGCCCTTGTGGTAGTATAAACGCTGTCTTTGGGCGGTCTTTGGGTTCCACTTCAACTTGCCAGTAACCGGACTTCAGGTCCAAAGTTGAGAACCATTGGGCTCCGGCAAGCGCTTCGAGTGTAACATCAATTCTTGGAAGTGGGAAAGAGTCACGAGTGGTGACCGCATTAAGTCGTCGATAGTCTATACAAAATCGGAGTTTGCCGTCTTTTTTGGGCACTAATGTGACTGGCGATGCCCACGGCGACTTGGAGGGGCGGATTATCCCTGTGGTCAGCATCGTTTGAATTAGATCGCTCACCTCCTTCTGAAAGTGTGGTGGAATGCGGCGTGGTGGTTGCCACAGAGGTTTCGACGTGCCAGTGTCAATGCTGTGACGGATGACAGCGGTGCGACCTAAGGAGGTATCATCCCATGCGAAAACATCGCTAAATGCCGTCAGAAGTGACTTCAATTCCTCCTTGTCGGTAAGGGCGACCGTATCCTCTGAGGGTAAGACCGTGTCTACACTTATGGGTGGTAAGGCTACCGACGCTGCGATGGCCGCGCAGGTGGCTTCTTCGTCAAACTCGGCGGCTGTTGGGTGGTAAGGCGGTGACTTATGCCCTAAGGATAGTATACGATCTTTGACCATAATACAACAGTTATGCGCAGAAAGGAAATCTAGGCCGAGTATCATGTCCCACGACATCCTGTGAGTGACGAAAAAGCTTGTTCCTTAACGCTGGTTGGAAAGGAGATGGGCAGTCGAACCATCCCTAACGTGGTCATGGGTGACCCGTCTGCGGTTTTGAGTTGTGGTGAGCGACCGCTTTGTCTGGCGAGGTTAAGCCACTTAGAGTCTAGTACATCTGCCCGAACTAACGACGTGGTGGCACCTGTGTCGACTAGGGCCTTAATGGGTTTGTTGTCTAGATAAATCGTCGTGTAAAACGGTAAACTATGTGACGTGTAATCAAAGCAGACGGGAATGATGTGGTTACCTTCCTTGGTAATCGCCGCCGCAGTACTGTCTCTATCTCCCCGGAATTGTCTTGGCCCAGTGTTGAGCGGTGGGGGTCCATAGGGCGTGCGGAACTTGGAGGGTCGGCTGCCGCGGTTGAATCGCTGTGAAGGCTGGTAGTGCGGTCTGGTCCAGGTGTTGTTCTGTTGCCTGCGGTCTGGCGTGGATTTCCATGGTTCAGCCCAAGAGTGATCATCGCCTGTTGGGGCATCAGTTGTTAGCATGCGGGATGCCCGCTGGATGGCTTCGTTGAGGTCGCCTGGTGGCTGAATCCTCAGGGAATACGTCACCTCCTGGGACCCGAGACCTCGTTTGAAGTGGTAAAGGACCACTTGGTCTCTATCGGCCGCTGACAGTGAGGGGTAGGCGTCGCGTGCGAGCCGGAGTAAGGCGTCGGCGAACTGCCGAGGGGTCTCATCGCTCCTTAAGGAACGTTTTAATAGCTGATCAAGGGCTTCTTCGATGGTCAATCGGGGTTGGAAAAGCCTCTGCAATTGGTCGCACAGCACCTGGAAAGGGGTGTGGCGGGTGAGGCCGGCATCTAGTGCCTTGTCCATCTGGTCGTCTGCCAGATGTTGAAGTACAGTACGGCTGCGTTCGTTTTGTGGAACATCGTCTAGGTGGAATTTAAGGCGGCGAAGCCAGCACGAAAAATCTTTACTCCCGTCATAGGGTTTAAAAGACGACGGAACTGGGTTTGTTGTACTGTTTTTAGGTTGCGGGCTCGGCTTGTTCGCTGCCACCATTGTAAGGTCCGACCTCGAAGGGGTTCGGTGGCCGAGAGTTCACTGGCGTCCGTTTGGGTTGCCTGGGACGGAACGTCGGAAACTGGGGCACTCTGTCCGATTTGTGAACCGTTAGGATCGTCCTTCCAAGCGTTCATTATCGAATAACAATCTTCAAGCACACGATAAGCCGCGTAGTACTCCAAGGTTTATTGAGGAAGGGCGAAAAAGAGGAACGTAGAATGAGGGCAAAACTGAGGGGGAATCTATTAGTCCAACGAAACGTTATTTTCACAGTTGACCAGGGAAGGTGGAGTTGGATGCTGCCACCGGGGAGGGGGAGTCTTCTGCCTTACGCACTTCAACTAAAAAAAACAAGAGAAAGCAGACAGATAGTGTCCAGACACCAGGCACCCTTGCTCTCAAAACTAGCGCCCTTGTCTATTAAAACAACCGTTCATGTGTGCCTGCTACAACCCAACAGGAAAATAATTTCAAGGTCAGGCCGATATCAAAGTTCTTCAAATGCCATGAAGGACATATTATTCATGCCCCCCAAAACTACCAAACTGCAAACTTCAATTTTTATATTGTACATATCGTTATTTTTTGAAAATTTTGTTGTTATTTTTCCTTAGAACTGAGGTTTTTTTTAACTTAAAACAAACTCTCAATTCGCGCTCTTTTGGCTAACCAGACACCCGAAGCAAATGAAGTCAAAGTGCAGTTGAAATTGACGAGTTTGTTTTAGGTTTTTTTCCTGAGTTCAAAGGGGACTGACAGTGCCCAATGGGCGCTACAATAAACCTATTCTATTCTAATCTTCTGAGACCTTCAGCTGACAGGGCCGCCGGAAACAGAACAAATTAACCCCTTGATTGTCAGCACTGCGTAGTCGTCCAGGGCCTATCGGAGTCGAATGCTCCTACACCGAAGGAGAGGTTCTCCGCTGACCTTAATATGCTTCAACGCCTACTGAACAAAATGCTTAATTCGAATGAAAAGATAACCATTCGCGCAGCCTTCAGGATCGGAAAGAAGGTGAGCGAACAATCGGAAACTGTGCGGCCACGACCTCTGAAAATTGTTTTGAACAGTAAAGAGGAGGCTAGCTTACTTCTGTCCGGGAAAAGCAGCCTCCGAAACTCTCACAAGGAATTTTTTCAGCCGGACTATTCTCCAGCGGAACGTCTGAAACGCCGCGAATTCGTAACGGAGTTGAAGAGGAGACTTGCAGCGGGAGAGAGCAACTTGGCCATTTTCAGGGGACGAGTGATACAGAGGAACGCGATGTTGCTTTGGAACCAGCCAGTTATCATGATAGCGGCAGCAACATAATATTGGCAAACCCGAGATTAACCGAACGAAGCACTGTCGAATGTCGCAAACTAAAATTCTTTTACACCAATGCTCAGAGTCTGTTTTCCAGGCTTGACGAACTGAGAATACAGGTAGCCGATACTCTTCCCCATGTTATAGCAATAACAGAAACGTGGCTGTCAGAGGACGTTGGTGATTGCGAGGTAGCATTAACAGGATACCATTTGTTTAGGAGAGACAGGAGAGGCCGCCGGGGTGGAGGAGTTGCCATGTATGTCAAGAGCAACTTAGCAGTGTGTGAGAGGACCGACAAGATTTATAAAGACACGGAGGCAATTTGGCTGACTATAAAGGCACGGGGATCTCAGTCCCTCGAAGTCGTAACTATCTATCGGCCCCCGCAGGCGGATCCCGACCCAGAGACTTGTCTACTGAAAAGCACAAAAGAGATTGCCAGCCGATCAGGCGTTGTTCTCATGGGGGATTTTAATGCACCCTGCATTCAATGGAGCGATATGCATGCGAAGTGCTCGATGAATACCTTCAATTACCGTCTACTAAAGACAACCCTAGAAGCTCTACTCACGCAACATGACCTGTTTCCAACTGGAGCTCGTGGAGGGCAACAGGCCAGTTGTCTGGACCTCGTTTTTACCAAAGATCCTGACAGTATAGACGAGGTGTACTACCTACCCCCGCTCGGTCGAAGTGATCATGCAGTGTTTTTATGGGAGTACCTGCTGTATTCTGAACCGTGTACAAAAGACAATACGAGGCCAAATATATGGAAAGGGGACTTTTGCCAAATGAGAGCTGAGGCATCACAAATAGACTGGGATGTTCTCTTCTCCGGAAACGTTAACGAGGACTGAAATTTATTCAAGGATCGTTTACTGCATCTAATGAAGAACCACTGTCCCTTATCAAAGCCTAGGACATCCAACCGCCCTCAGGGGGAATCTTCAAACACGAGCAGCAACTCAACAGCCAAAACCGCAGACGCCGGTAACAGCAGGACAATGAAAATGAAGCCGCCGATAAAGGGAGACTCGATTACCACGCACGATGTCTTAAGCGATGTCGCAAAAAAATTACCTGTCGCGGAAGCCATTTCACCTAAGCCTCTTGCTGTAAGTGATGGGATTTCTGTTCTGCCTGGAGACGATGTACCTGGGTCATCCAGTCTACTGTTGCCCTCTTGTTCTGGCAACCACCCCGAGCGCACTACAGAGCACGTATCTGAATGCGAAGACATAAACCCGTGGGTAGAGGGGAGAAGGAAACGCCATGACAGGATTCTGAAGTCACAGCCAGCCCTGATGGGTTGCTCAGGACAGTCGGTAGACAGTATAAGTGTGCGTCCAAGCGATGACTCCGTAAATCGTCCTCGCCCACATGCAGCGCATTCACCGGAAAGACAGAGTAAGGAGGACCATGCTCGCCTGCAGTGTCTGGTTATTCAGGGTTTGTCAGAATCGAATGCAGTCAGACCTGAAGACCGTGTCTCAGAGGACCTTGCTTCTTTTCATGGTCTGCTAAATCATTTACTGCCGGCAGACATGGAAATAAAGGTTCTGAAAGCATTCCGGATAGGAAAAAGGAATGAAGACAGGACAGTAGCACAACCACCTCACCCTCTCAAAATTATGCTGGAGAATAAAGAGCAAATCAAGTTTATCCTCTCTAAAAAACCGATCTCGGAAACACACAGAAACAGGTTTTTTTTCAGCCGGACTATTCACCAGCGGAACGGTTGAAACGCCGGGAACTTGTCTTGGAGTTAAAATCAAGACTGAAGGATGGCGAACACAATCTGGCTATCTTCAAGGGGAAGGTAGTTCGGAAATATATGCCGTTTCAGTGGAACCAGCCTGTAATACTACGAACGACGAGAGCTACTCAGCTAAAACAGACACCTTCGATGAACCACCAGATCAAGGCGCCAATACAAGTGAGCCCGTAGCGTCCAGTGATCTGACTGAAACAAGGCATATAAATGGAACCAATCAGGTAACGGAAGAGCCTAGAGAACACGACGTCCGCGATAACGGAGTAATGCTCACAGCAGTAACAAATGCAACGGGAAATTCGACTGGTGCTAAACTGAGGTGCTTGTACACGAATGCCCAAAGCCTCATATCGAAACTTGACGAACTAAAACCTTGCCTTGTTGAGCTGTCTCCAGATGTTTTAGCAGTAACTGAGACCTGGCTGTCCGGGAATATTAGCGATAACGAAGTAGCCTTGCCTGGATACCAAATTTATCGGAGGGACAGGGAACATCGTCAGGGTGGTGGTATCGTTGTGTATGTGAATGACGGTCTGGCAGTGTCGGATAACACCACCAAGTTTGCGCGCAGTACGGAAGCTATCTGGTTGACCATCAAGGCTACCGGTTCCCCGTGTCTCGATGTCCTCACTGTCTACCGACCACCTAGGACAGACCGAATCGCCGACACTCAACTATTGGAGCAGTTGGAGAAATTTTCCAGTCGACCTAACATCATGATCATGGGCGACTTCAACGCACCAGGAACAAACTGGAATACCCTTTAAGCGTCAGGTCCAAAATCGGCATTCGATTACTGCCTGTTGAGCAAAACATTAAATGCGTGCCTCACACAACATGTAATGTTCCCAACGAGAACACGTGAAGGACAAAGGGCAAACTGCCTGGATCTGGTCTTTACGAAAACACCAGACTGCATAGACGAGATCGCCTCCATGCCGCCCCTTGGCCGAAGTGACCACGTAGTGCTTATGTGGGATTATTCGTTATTCTCCATTTCACATACTCCAGACCACAAAAGGCGTAATGTTTGGCGGGGCGACTTCAATCAGATGAGGGCAGACTTATCCGGTCTTGACTGGGGCTCATTGTTTACGGGAAGTGCCAACGATGACTGGGAGCTGTTCAAGAATGTCCTTCTGCAGCTCATCAACAACCACTGCCCACTGACTAGTGTAAGACTGAACAAACGCCCTGGGTGGCTAAGTTGCAACCTCAAGAAAGAAATCAACCGGAAGCACAAATTGTGGAGAAAATACTGCGTCACTAGACAAGCTGAATGCTTCAACACCTACAAGACACAGAGGAACAAACTGAGGAAGCTGATAATGCAGACGCGGCGGGAATTCGAGAAGAACTTGCTACAAAAAGCAACGCAGAACCCAAAATTGCTCTACAGCTACCGCCGACGAACTACAAGGAACAGGCATCAAATCCCCTTGATAAAGACTACTGATGGCGTTGAGATCGCTGATAGTAGGGATAAAGCTGCGTATTTTTCACGGTTTTTCCAATCAGTCTACACAAACGAGGCAAGGTTCCTTCCTCCCTCCACAGAAGAACTGCCGACTCCAAGCGTCAGTGATATACTCTTCTCAGAAGGCATTGTCCGAAGAGAATTAGAGGCATTGAACGAATCGAAGTCGCCAGGACCAGACGAGATTCCACCCAAGCTTCTGAAGGAACTTGCCAGTGAGCTCTCTGTGCCTTTGTCCATGCTCTTTCAAACGTCATTTGACACTGGAACACTTCCTGTCGATTGGAAGCTGGCGCATATTACTCCGCTACACAAAGGAGGTAACAGGGCAGCGACGACAAATTACCGGCCCATAAGCTTGACATGCATTCTCTGCAAAGTTATGGAAAGGATCATAAAGACTGAACTGATGTACTTCCTGGAAGTTCACGACCTGCTATCGAAATGCCAACATGGATTCCGAAAAGGAAGATCCTGCACGACAAACCTGCTGCAATCTCTCCAGAGCTGGACCCGAGCTCTCGACGACAGGCACGCGGCCCACATAGCCTTCATCGACTTCCAGAAGGCTTTCGACACTGTGCCACACCAAAGGCTCTTACATAAGCTGAGAAAAATAGGGATCGGTGGCAACTTCCTTAAATGGATCGGAAACTTCCTTGTGGGTCGACACCAGGTTGTGTGCGTCCGTCGGGGAAAATCAGATCCGGCTATGGTCGATAGTGGTGTCCCCCAGGGTTCAGTTCTGGGACCCATTTTGTTCCTTATGTACGTGGACGATGCCGCAAGAGATTTAGACTGTGAAGTAGAATAGGTTTATTGTAGCGCCCATTGGGCACTGTCAGTCCCCTTTGAACTCAGGAAAAAAACCTAAAACAAACTCGTCAATTTCAACTGCACTTTGACTTCATTTGCTTCTGGTGTCTGGTTAGCCAAAAGAGCGCGAATTGAGAGTTTTTTTTAAGTTTAAAAAAACCTCAGTTCTAAGGGAAAATAATAACAAAATTTTCAAAAAATAACGATATGTACAATATAAAAATTGAAGTTTGCAGTTTGGTAGTTTTCGGGGGCATGAATAATATGTCCTTCATGGCAATTGAAGAACTTTGATATCGGCCTGACCTTGAAATTATTTTCCTGTTGGGTAAATTTCGGAGTGTAGCGGCCGAGGACGTCAAGGGTAGCACACACCGGAGTAAGGAAACGCCGAGAAGGACTCTTGGCCGGGATAGACCTGAACGGAGCTGTTAGCATTCCTTGATACACATCCATACACAGAAGAAGAAGAAGAAGAAGAAGGCATGTCGAATAAGAGATAAAGTGTAATAATACGAGGTTGCACGGGGAATCGTATAATAATCGTTAATAGTACAAGTAGGACGGTTACATCGGTAGAATGACCTGTCTGGGTGGAGAGACGATGCCAACGTGCCAGCTAGTAAACCGGTGGGGAGCGCAGCGCTGGGGGCAACTGCAGGGAAGGGTCGAGGGAGTGCCGATGTAGCGAGGAGGCGAGCGGTTCGGACGATACGTTGCGTTACGGTACGACGAGGGGGAAAGGGATCGGCAGAAGAGAGAGGGAGGGACACCGGTTATCTTTACCGACACGCGACTACGCCATCTCCACCCTAGGTCCTCGCGCAAAAAGTGTCACCTCATTCAAACAACTCTGTCCAAGTCCAGGGACGTTACAGGAGTGCTCTAGTTGCTGGTTGTCAGTCTACCTGGCCAGCTGCAAGGGGGCGGTCGCACAGTTCCTATGTGTTTTTCAGGAGGCTTACCATCGTTGTCTGGACTAAGAGCTGGAAAAGATGAATATATATCAGGAGCAAGAAGCATTCAATGGTAAGTCACAATCAAAACTGTCAAAATTCTATTGACTCATGTATCATATTGTTCTTGTTAATGTGAAATTATAGGAGTAGTGGTCGACTGTTTACTATGACCTAATATAGTTGTATATATGTTTATTATGGCTTTAATATAGACATACGCACGACTAATATGCAGGGTTTTATCGAAGGGTATATTTTTATTAGCTTTATAAGGGATATTTAGTGTCAGGTGACATAGCTGATGAAAACTAGAAAGGGAGGAAAATAAAAGAATATCATTATCTGTTCTATGTTTGTCAATGATGCTATCTTTTATAAATTTGATTATTTTTAGTGCTATGTTCCGGTATTTTTCAGTCGGCTGGCATCATCAGAGCCCTTTTGGACCAAATTCAATATCAAAGAATTGACTTGAAAAATGTCCTATCTTATTCAAAAATAAATGTGTATTGTTATTTGAAAGGAATTTCTTAGTTTTTATTTTAAACTCGATTAGGGTTCGACTTTTCCGGATATAACCTGGAAGAGAATTCCAGATAGTCGCATATCTTATGGAATAGAAATTTGACCGTTGGGACTTTGTGAATTTGGGAATCCTTATAATATCCTCGCTATTTCTGGTGTTTCTAGGGGCGTTTTGGTTGGTAAGTAAATTCATTTCGAGAATATCTTGGTCGTGGGTGACCTTGCATAGGAAGTTTAGACCATTTTGAAGTCTTCTGATCCAGAGTGGTCGAAGACCGTATTTATGATATAGTTCTAAGTATGAACCCTGGATGCCATCACTTCTAGACAAAGATCTAGTAAAGCGTCTCTGAATGCGTTCTAGTTTCTTTCGGCCGTCTGAGGGCATTATGCCAAAGAAAATTGAACAGTAATCTAGGAGAGGTAAAACATACATTTTGAAAAGTTTTATTCTTAGTGCATTTAAGGTGAAATTTTTACATATGAATCCACACAGGCGAGTGGCTTTCGGTGATATTTGTTGGACGTGGGGAGATAAATCAAGGGTATTTGTATAGCTGAGACCTAAATCTTTTACCGATTGGGCCTCTGTTATTTCATTATCCTGGAATATTATGGGAGGAAGTTTTTGTGGGCCAAATATCAGGAGATGACATTTTTCGGGTGAAAAGGGCATCTGCCACTGACTACTCCATTCGCTGAGTTTTCTGAGATCAGTTTCAATTGTTCTATGAATATTGGCTACTGTATTCCCGTTATATGCATATGCAATTTTAAGGTCGTCCGCATATAAAAACGTCTTAGCTGAGACAGATATGGACGATAAGTCGTGAATATATATGAGAAATAGAAGGGGGCCTAGGATAGTGCCTTGAAGTACTCCACTGGTAATGGGGGATGGTTCTGAGACGACGCTTCGAATTTGCACCACCTGGTATCGGTTTTGAAGATAAGATTTAAGAAAATCGAGAAGGGGTGGCCTAATTCCATGACTTTTTAGCTTTATCAGTAGTCTTTTATGGGGGACTTTGTCAAGGGCCTTTCTTAGATCGAAGTATACTGAAGCTACTGTGTTTCCATTATCTCTATTGCTGGAAACGAATTCCAAAAAAGTAAGGTGGCATGACTGACATGACTTTTTGGGTAAAAATGCATGTTGAGAGGAGGGAATGAGGTTGGCGTTCATGAGATGGTCTAGCAATTGGTTATATATTATTTTCTCGAGGATTTTAGCTATAGCCGGTGTTCGGTGAACACCACGATAGTTTTGGGTATGAGATCGGTTGCCGCTTTTAAATATGGGCGCAATGGTCGAGTATTTCCACATGTCCGGAAAAATTGCATTTGACTGGAGTAGGGTGAATAACTTAGATAGGAGTATTGGAGCGTATGTCATATGCTTCAGAATACATGGTGGGATTTTGTCTGTCCCATGGGATTTGGTGTTTGATAGTTGTTTGATGGCTACTTTAACAGTTTCTTCACTAAAATGGATCTCACTAAGAATGCGTTCAGTCATCTCGGTCGGTTGGGTGATGGTTCCCTCTTCGACTGTGTAGTTAGCTGAGAAGTATCTGTTGAATAAGTTTACTATTTGTTTATCATTGGTTATAACTTGCCCTAATTCATTAATAATAGTTCGTGGTCCTGACTCTCGATGATTACTCATTAGTTTCTGAAACATCTGAGCTGTTCGTTCGGGGGATTCTAGTGCCCGATGTTCTGCTGCTATGGTCTTTTGTGTTTCTATTTTCGTGACTAGGTCGTGAATTTCCCTAATTCGTCGAAGTGTGGAAAAATAACTCACAGAGGGGTCGCGTAGCTGTTTTTGTAGTTTTTTTAGTTTAGTTGAAAGGAAGTTCGGGATTGGTGATTGCTTATACGGGAGTCTTTCGTCTATCAAGGTATCTCGAATTACAAATAGGACAGAGTACAATAGGTTAACTGCTTCCATAGGGGATGTTGTAAGAAGATATGGGCTCCAGTCCAA